TACACCTGCCTCTTAATATGACCCCACAGAAAAATTCAGCATTATGAGAAGGGCAAGAAACAACACCCCCGCGACCCATCCAACAACGAGGAAACATGGTGCTAAGAAAAGCGCGGATAACATGATGATAATAAGTGGGAGCCTATAAAGAAACCGCACAACCTAAAGCAATTCGGGTAATAATATCACGTGATAATTTAGACACCATACTCTGGGTATATGTACAAGTGAACCATATGGTACAAGCTGTTTCAATAAGTACATTTGTAATATGATATACAAGATGTAGCAGCGATTAACTCTCTTAAGGGTTTTGTACCTAATCATTTTATGATTGAATGTTAAAATTAGATCAATTATTCAAGAACCATTGTAGATGTTTGGTAGAAATTTTAACGCATGCCTGTACTAACTACATGAAAAATGATACATTTAAATCTGTCACAGTTTCCCCTTAACATCTGATTCATTTTTCAAAGATTCAAGCTCTTCTAATTAAGACACTACCAATTAATTGTGGATCACATTGTATCCTATGTCCTATGAGGGAACCATACTCTTCAATATTTGAAGTATATATTTTTAATCCTTCTTGAACAATTGATCAAAAACTGTCTTTCTTGGTATTAGAAGGACTCTAGAACACTTAGGATTATAGGAAAATAATCATTGTTATTTTATTTGTTTCAACGAGAGTAATCAGTCTTAAAAGTTTATTTCAATTTCGCGGTTATACCGTGTATAAACAAAAAAAATTGGTAAGTTGTTAATATGTATACAATACATCTAAAAGAGCTTAGCTGAAAAATCGATAAAATTAAAAAATTGTTAATAAATAATAATAATTTAAAATGTATTTTGAAAAAAAAAGTTCATATCACGAAAATGCTTTGAAGAGGTTCAGGAAACAAGTTTAGGTAAATTTAGTCCCGATAGAGTTTGCGCTGATACGAAAAGGAATCATCTGATCTTGATAATGAGCATATATATTTTTTTAACATTTTTTATATAATTATATGTATAATCATGTAGTGAAAATATTAGAAATCTCCCAATTAATAAATAATTAATCATTAAAGATTGACGCACAAAATGAATGTTTTTAATGAGTGTTTACTGCTGCGCTAATTCGTGACATCATTTAGTGCGATCGATAAGATAAATAACAGGGGCAGGATGACTCGAAAGCATGAGCATGGTTAAATATGCTATCGAGTCATGTTCACTTCGAGGCTCCCCGCATGCCGTATTAATGTTTCCTTGATCACTTGACAACAATTAAATTTTTACATAATTTTAAACATAATTATCTACAATTAATTTGTAGCATTATAGAAAATAATTTTGTACCTACCATCAGTTGTTGCTGGTTATAGACTAAACAAAATGCAGATCTGTCGAGTCCATTTATGACAAACTCTGTCGGAAAATGAAGTTTTAAAGCGATCAGTTGAAAACACGGTACGATCTCAGAATTAACACAAGTAGGTTCCAGGCAGGAGATCTAGTATGGCTGTACTACTCAGTAAGGATGAAAGTAAAATCTCCTAAGCTCCAGAAGTCGGTAATCAAGAGGATCAACGATGTGTTGCATAGAATCGAGAGAACGCCCAGGAGCGAAAATGAAAGTCGTGGTAGTGTGGTTTGTTATACATATTTTGTTTACTACTTTGTTTAATGATTTTCCTAGAACATTTTATATTTCTTTCTTTCATATTCTTAGAAGCTTAGATGTTAATCTACATTGTTCTTAGAAACCCACGGAAAATTTGAGAAACAACGAAATATATACTGGGTGGGGCATTTATCTAGAGACAAAATAATACCTCGGTTGAACTCGATTATTTTGAAAATAGTTTCAGATAAAAATTGTAGGGCACCGAGGGGGGCCCTTGAAAGGTTCATATTACGACTTCCGGTCTAGACCGGAAGTATTTTTTAGACCGGAAGTTATTGTTTTTAAATGGAAACATCCATTTTTTACCATGCATTTCGATTGAAAAACGAAAAAAAAAAACATTTTGTTCTTATTACTTTTTAGATTTGCGTACCTTGTTGGGATCATTTTTTTGAAATGTTTCATACAAAAGTTATGGGGTGAAAAGTGGGCTATCTTGACATTACCTTGAAAATTGCTCCTACACACTTCAATCTTCAGCTAATCAGAAGAAAGAAGAAATTCTTCATTTCACCGAAAACAAGTACCCGAAAGAGAATAAAAAACTGCTATAAGAGGGTTCCATTTAAAATTTTGAATTTGATCTTCTTGAAGTCAAGGTCAAGGTCATTTTCAAAGTCATGTCAAGATAACTTCCTTTTCACCCTACAAATTTTGTATGAAACATTTTTTAAAAAAAAAGTGATCTCAGTAAGATACTCCGTTGTTCTTTAAATAATGTTTGTTTTTTAAGTAAATAAAAATTAACATATTAATCCGAGCAGCCAGTAAACATAACTTACAGAATTGTCAACAGATACTGTAAATAAAGAAGATCGATTTTACCAAAGAAAATATATAATATGGCTATACAGGATATTTTGCAAAACCATACTTATCCTATCAACTTCGACGTCACCTGTTGCATGGGTGTTGTATAATAATGAAAACGTAATAATGACAGTTGGTAGAAGGAAGCGCAAAAACAAACGCTTAGGTGGGGAATTCTGGAAGGAAGCCTAAATAGTTGAGGTGAGAACAACGCAGAGTGAAAAGTAAGACGATCGGTGTACGATGAAAATACATAAGTGAAAAATTAAAAGTGTTTAACCGGTATTAATTTGCAGGTAATTATTCTCTGAGTACTTTGTTGTAAATTGTTCTATGTAATCTTATGATTGTGATGATTATAGATGTTTCATGATAATAATTCTGTGTATGTTTAGCCTTCATTGTTTTATGCTCAGGGGCGTATATTTTTCTAACGAAAAATTGTTATAATTATTATTAAAGATTGCTCATTATTTATTACATGTTAAAATATGTAAATTGTAATAAATTGGAAATACACAAAAAAATATCACAATGGAAATATTACCTGACCGAACTTTAGATCAAAAATAAAATTAATTAAAATATAGCAGACAATAAAATAGCATAAAATTGTTAATACAAAGACTCTGAATATAAAATAAGTATCAAATAAGAATATCATATAGTATAAAGGAGATAATTTTAAATTTAACTCATAAGTGCAAAAATAATTTAAAAAAAAAAACATGACATCGATAATTGCCAGACCCAGTATAGTAAGAAAACAGAATTTAAACCCAGTGTGACATATATCAAAAGAAAGACAAATATCCATAGATGAATATGATATGCATAAATTAGGTAGACGATTAGATGTAGAGAAGATATTTTCAATCAACTGAATACAATGATGAAATTTTAATATCAAATGTCAAATTAAATTATAAAATTTAGCACATGTCAAAACTAAGGTTGGCTTTACAAGAACCAGAATATGACCTACAAAAGAAAGAACATAAATAAAGAATATTTCACAAAAAGTACTAAATTTATATGTTAGAAATAGAAAGACATTGTCACAAATGTATTAGATGTAAGTAGTGAGGTGAAAGTGTAGTGAAAAAGGTATGCCCAAAAACTGGAAACTATATGAAGGGACCTTAATAAAAAAGGAAACACTAGAAACTTCCAGAAGGCGAAAAAACAATTGTTTATTGATAGTTACGGCTTGGTTTTTTTATTGGGAAGAAGCCAGATATTAGAAGTAGCTCAGAAAAATCATAGAATATTTAAGATATAACAGGCAGAAAGTAAAATAAAACTTACCAGTGATCTTAAAAATCGTTTATCTTCAAAATCTACAAAGAAATTCATCAGGCAAGAAAATTTTTGTAACCCATTAAAAGGCAGTATCAAGAGTATTCCAGTGGCCCATAATTGGTAATAAAAAACCCATCGTTCCAGCAAGGAAAGCCGAATCCAACGATCAACAGGTACCTTTAAAAATAAAAATAAAGTGCACAAAATAAATAAAAATTAAATGCTATAGCTTAAACAATTAAATTGTGATATAGTTTACCTTATAAAAGAAAAAAAAGGTCAAACTAAATAACAGGACTTACCTGGAAAAGGCCAAAGATAAATAAATCCCAAAACCAGCTTTTAAAACCATCCTAATTTGAATGAGCTCAAATTAATCTCGAACATTGACGGCCATTTGTAATTAAATGTCAGTTTTATACTATTAAGGGTAGATATTTAAGTTATGCAATACAATATACGAGCGAGTGTTGAAAGTAGTATTCATAAGTAAGTCAGATAAAAAAATTTTTGAAAAGAAATTAAAAAACTACCAAGCTCTTGTATTGTAAAAAGTGTAATAGGATAAGGAAAAGTAATAGCAAATAAAATATTCTTTATTTTTGTTCAATTAGAAATTAAATTATATGAAAATATTTCTGAAGGAAAAGCCAATCAAGTTAAAAATTTTCTTCTGTTTTGTTTTTGTTATGATATAATCACGATAACTGATAAATTTTTTTAAAGAAAAATATAAATATTGTAAATTCTTAAACATTCTATTTTTTCTTGTTCTGTATGCTACAAGTCCTGAAGTAAAGAAAGTGAACCGACTCCTGAGATAAGACTTAAAGCAAAATCTAAGTGGCAGCTAGCAAGGGTATAAAAAAAAAAATAATTAGATATACGAGGTAAGAAAGAAAAGAAAGGTGTATTTAACAATGTACAGTAAAATCTAAATAATAATTACAGAAATAAAACAAAAGCAAAAACACAACACTCAATACATTAAACACATAAATTAAAAAATTAAAAACTAAAATTAAATCACAATATTCAAAACCAAAACAAATATAACCGTAACAAATTGGCGCCCAACGTGGGGCTCGAAAAAAAACGTGAGGCTCGAAAAAAAACGTGAGGCTCGAAAAAAAACGTGAGGCTCGAAAAAAAAAAAACGTGAGGCTCGAAAAAAACGTGAGGTCTTCGAAAAAAAAACGTGAAGAGAATTATGGATTTAAGAAGTGGAAAGCAGATTGGAGAAAACGACAGTGAAGAAATATCAGAACAGGAAAGTATGGGAGAACAAGAAACTCATAGTGGAGGAAGTGACGTAGGAATAAAAAGTATGTTGGAGGAAATGATGAGGACGATAATGGAGGACAGAAAAAAGCAAGAGGAAGACAGAAAAAAGCAAGAGGAAGACAGAAAAAGGCAAGAGGAAGACAGAAAAAAATTGACAGAGATAATCAGACAAGGAAGAAAAGAAGATATAGAAAAAATAGAAAAAGGAAGAAAAGAAGACATGAAAAAAATGGAAACACTACTAGATATAAAAATTCAAGACATAAGAGAAGAAATAAGAAAAGATTTTCAATCATGGAAAATGGACATTAACAAGGACGTGGAAAGAATAGACCAGGATGTAGCAACGATTGTGACAAAGACAATAGAAATAGAAGATAAAATGAATAAACAAGAAAATGAAATAGAGAAGATTGGAAGAAATATGAATAAAAACACACAAGAAATAGAAAAAGTAAAAAGGCAAGTGCAAGGAGGATTAATAGGAAAGCAGGATGTGCTGGAGGAAGAACGAAAAAGGACAGAGGAGCAGATAGAAGAACTCAAGAAAGAGGTACAAAGAGTAAGGGAAATGAAAAACAAAGATGGAGAAGTAATAACCAGAGTGATATGCCATGAAGAGAACAAGATGCATAAATTTTCTGGAAAAATAAACAGATTACATCCAGTCGTATTTTTAAGATCGATAACAAGGAAAATTCAAGAATTGCAGGATAGGATTCAAAACGAAGAAACAAGGAATGAAAGGATTAAGGAACTTATCAGGGAAAATCTAGAAGGCGAGGCTTTACTATGGTATAATGGAGTAGAAAACAATATACACGAGTACACACAATTTACACAAAGATTTATTCAACATTTCTGGGGGGACACTGCACAAATAGTGATAAGAGAAAGACTGTACTTTGGAAAATACAACCCGAAATTATCAAATAGTTTAACAAATTATGCAATGCAATTGTATTCATCCGCGCAATACCTAACACCGAACATAGCTGAACAAGATATTGTTTTATATATCTCAAGACAATATAAACCTGAGATAGCCGAGACAGTGGCGATGCAGAACATACAAAACATAGAACAATTATATAACTATCTCGCAAGAGTAGAACGAAATACAAACAGTAAATATCAAAATTCTAGTAACAACCATATTAACAATAGTAGTAGAAGTCAAAATTATCAAAATTTTAGTCACAACAATTATAATCATAGTAACTTCAGAAATTTTAATAGATCGAATGATCAGAATTTAAACAATTTCATTAGCAGAAACCACAACAATTTTAGGCCTAATAATAATAATAACAACATGCAATTTCAGAGAAGTAACAATTGTAATAACAACACAAATGGGAATTTTAGATATAATAACAATATGAATAACAATCAAAGTAACAGAGATCGAAGTATTAACAATTTTAATAATCAAAGTAACAATTCAAGGTATAATAACAATAATCAATATTATAATCCAAATAGAAATTCAAACACAGGTTACTATAATAATAATAACAATGTCAATAATGGTTATCGACCGAACGCATTTCACAATTCACGAATACATCAATATCAGCCCAGACGAGATGAAAATCAACAGGTGAGACAGGTAAATTTTCAACGTGTGAGAAGTAACAGCCGATCCGAAGAACGAGGGAACAGACAACCAAACGATGAGGACAGATTTGAAAATCGTAGATCCATTTCTTTAGATAGACAACCTAGAAATTCAAATACACAAGATCAGTCAAATTTTCATTAAATTGCAAGTCAAATGAACAAATCATTAAAATAAATCATAGTAAATATTCCCATCCAAGAGAATTTATTAAATTAGATGAAAATGTAGTAGTAAATCAAAATAATATTTTAATTTATGTTAATTCAAAATTTCAAGATGAAAATTTAGAGGTATTAATTGATTCTGGATCAGAAGCATCACTGATAAGCCAAAATATAGTGGAAAAGTTTCAAAATTTAAAACAACATATAACTAAAATAAATAAAATAATATTAATTGGTCCTAATAAAAAGAAAATGTACCAGGTGAACAAAATGCTAAATATCACACTAGAATTTGGAAAGAGTAAATTAATGTTTCAATTTTTAGTAGTTCCAGATATGACAATGGACATTATCCTAGGTTCCGATTATCTAAATAAATATAATGCTAAAATAGATTATAAATTAAGAAAATTATGTATAAATGAGATATGGATAGATTTTAAAGAAAACAAACAAGAAATTATGAACATAGGTGAAAGCATAGAATGTAAGGTAGTTGATGAAAAAGTAATGAATGTTAAAGAGATGAATTTATGTGAAGAAGGTGATGATTATTATTATGATGATGAGGTGAATAATGAGGTATTTAATATAAATGAAATAAAATTAAATGTTGATAATAATTATGATAGGGAAGTGAGAGAAATGTTTAAGAAGTATGAAGGTTTAGTGTCAAATGAAATGAGAGTGGCAGAAAGCTATGTTCATAAGTTAGAGGTAAGAGATATAGATAATTTTAGAGCAAAAACATATCCTATTCCATATATGCATAAAGACAAAGTAAGGAATGAAATTGGAAAACTACTAAAAGATGAAATTATAGAAAGAAGTAATACACCTTATGTAAATCCTCTTGTGATAGTGACCAAGAAAAGTGGTGATATAAGAATTTGTTTAGATGCTAGGACTATAAATAAGTACACGATTCCACAGTATGAGGCACCATTAATGGTAGATGCGATATTAGGTAGAATTACAAATGCAAAAATCTTTTCAAAATTAGACCTTAAGCATAGTTTTTGGTTAATTCCTTTGGCAGAAGAATCAAGGAAATACACAGGTTTCATAGTAGATGGGGAAATATTTCAGTTTAAAGTCACACCGTTTGGCTTGCAGAGTTCTTGTTCCGCGCTTGTAAGGGCATTGCATAACATATTGAACAAATATGATAAATTTGTATTACATTATATAGATGATATTTTAATTTACTCTGACAACATTGAAAATCACAGACGACATTTAGACATTGTACTCGAAGAACTAGATAAAAACGGACTGAAACTAAATATTGAGAAATGTCAATTCTACAAAGAAAAAGTCACATATTTAGGCTATCAAATAAATCAAACAGGGATACAAATGGACGAAGAACGTATACAGACGATACGACAATACAAAAGACCACAAAATTTAAAGACATTACGGGGATTTTTGGGAATGATTAATTATTTTAAAAGACTTATACCAGACTTGACAAACTTTGAACTACCTTTAATTGAATTACTAAGGAAAAATGTTAATTGGACATGGACAGAACGACAACAAAAAGCTTTTGACAATATCAAAAATTTAATTTTGGAAAATTTAAAAATTTATCACCCGGACTATAACAAACCTTTTATTATACGGACAGACGCATCGATACAAAGACTTGCAGGTGTACTATTACAGAGACAAGACAACGACGAGGTACCAATAGCTTTCACATCAAGGGTGACGAAAAAACACGAACGAAACTATAGTGTATCAGAAATAGAACTAGCGAGTATAATCTTCACAATAACAAAAATGAGATTTTATCTATTAGGCAACAAATTTACAGTACAGACAGACAATCAAGCTTTGACTTCAATACTAAGCAACAAATTTGGTAATAATCGCATCCACAGATGGGCACTGTTACTTACAGAATATGACTTTGACATACAATACATACCTGGAAAACAAAATATACTTGCAGATGCTTTGACACGAATGGACAGTAGACAAGTAGACGAACCTAGACAGATTAAAGTAGGAATAAATTTAATGAGAGACAACGACGGAATATTTTCTATGACAGCCATACAAGAAGACCAACGAAAACTGACAAACGAAGAAAAGGCAAAATTAAAGTTCCAAAATAACTGTTTCATAAAACGGATAAAAGAGGAAGAACTATATGCCATTACGACGGATTTGACGAAACAGATAATAGAAAATTTACATAAAGACTATGGACATGTTGGGTTAGACAAAACATGGAGACTATTCCGAGAAAATTATTACAGCAAACATGACAGACAGATAACCAAAAACATAATACAGACATGCCATATTTGCCAAGTAGCCAAAGACAAAAACGCAACACTCAATACATTAAACACATCAATTAAAAATTAAATACTAAAATTAAATTCATTATTCAAAACCAAATCTCATACCAAAATTTAAAATATAAATTTATATAAAAACAATATCATAACAATATATATTGTCGTGTCTGCCCGGATATTGCAATAACAACTCCTTTGTTTCACATTTAACTTGTCTTGTCATGATTACGTTGTTCGAAAAACAAGTAATAAAGCATTTCTTGTTCTCACTTTGTCATACGCATATAAGGGCCCTGTTGAATTTACTAACATTTTCGCCCGTGAGGAATGAATCTGTAAAAAGGATAATTGAATACAAAGAAAATTGCTCTGGATTTCCTCCCGTATGGGACTCCAGTACCTTGAATTTTATTGTATTTACTTGACGTTTTCCAAGCATTGTATTTTGTCTCAGGAGAAATGAAGCATATTATTATTGTTGTTGTTATTATTGTTGTTGTTATTATTGTTGTTATTATTACCTTCCGGCCCTGCCAGCTAACTAACACCAAACCTCTTCAGTTTTACTTGGAAGTCTGTATGTCAAATTTGAGTGAGATGACATTTAGTGACACATTAAATAAGTCGGGTGTGATTTATCAGTAGCAAAGGATCTTAATTTATGCCTTTGGTTAGCGGTTGTTTTGTATTTATATTTGGGTAGTTAGAACAACGATCGTGGGTTTCTCTGCCATGCTCTTTCCCCGCAGGAGCTCTAGGTGAGCCTGGCACTCTCATTTTATGTTAAATGGTTGTTAATGTTTTTGTTGTACATTCTATTTGTCACATGTTTAATTTGAAGACTGTTGTACGTAAATAATAAAGTTAGGTGTATTTACTCTGCTTTTGTTTTATAAATTTAAACCATACGTCCCCTCTTTAAAGTTAGTAGCCAGCGCCTTCCGGTCAATAAGAAAATAGATGTATACAACGTAGGTATTCCTTATGACGACACACGACACATCTTTGGCCACAACTACGTTTGTTTATTTTTTTCGATCGAACCCGGGGTTGTTATACTACAATATCTCAGAATAACGTGTACAACGGAAGACCACAGATCGTGGACTCCAAATAGGTAGATCTAGGCTAATTCACCTATATCCGAAATCGCTTAGTTTGACTGCTAGATGGCCTCAAAGTTGGTGAAAATTTTTTTGAATTTTATAAATAACTCGAATACCTATTAATCGATTTAGATTGTTTTTGGGGTGTGGACTTTTGCTTTGTATATATTCATATTTTGGTGTTATACAGTGTTTTTTTTTAACCTACAACTCCTACAAAATTGATGGAAAGTGATAATATCAGTTCATAACTGTTTTCTCTTTCGGGTAATAATGACAACTATGTTTTATCGGATAAGTGATAGGATTTGGAAGCTTTTGGGCCTCTTGTAGAATTTTGATTAAATGAGCGGTTTGGGTACAAAAAAATATTTTTTAAATGTCTACATTATCGTGCCACCCATATTACAATACTTAACAAAGTGTTAGTAGGCACTAATTTTGTGGGTTGACTGTAATTTCAGTCTGATTTTTAAGTTATTATGCCTGACAATTCTTAATGAGTGTTTACGGCAATAAGTTATACCACCTTTTACTTCATTTTTCGACATGGATACACACATACGACGAATTAGAGTTATTTACAATGTCCTAATTATATTCAAATAATTAGAAAAAACAATCAACATCATAATAATGCTATCAATCATCATTGATAGCATTATTATTGTCCCTGTTATTCTACCCAATAGACCTAATGAGGAATTTTATTTAGAATTTTTGCAAAACACTTTACCCGAGTTATTGGAAGGTGTGTCGTTATTACTCAGAGCTAACACTGAATAAAAGTTGTGGAGGCATATCCTAATTGCCATAAACGTTTTAGAAAATCGCCCTTAAGAACTGCAAAGGGTGCCCTTTAACTTTCTTCACTGAATTAATCTTTGTTGTAGAAACAACAGTGACCATTTTGAAGTTTTTATAGCTACTATATTTGATAATATCAACTTTGTTACTTTTTTATTGTATTTGATTGTTTTTACTAATTATCTCAATAAAATTAGGCATGTTGTACGTAACTCTAATTCGTCGTATGTGTGTGACTGTGTGTATCCATATCGAAAAATGAAGTAACATGGTAATATATCTTATCGTAGTAAATACTCATTAAGAATTGGCAGGTACAATGATTTAAAGATCAAATTGAAATTACAGTCAACCTACAAGATCAGTGCCAACTAGCACTTTGTTAAGAATTGTAATATGGTGGCAAGATAATGTAGATATTTAATAAATATTATTTTGTACCTAAACAGCTCATTTAATAAAAATTCTACAAGGTTCCAAAAAACTTCCAAATGGTGTCACCTATCAAATAAAAAATTGTTATTATTGCACGAAAGAGGAAATAGTTATGAACGGACATTATCACCACACATTAATTTTGTCGGTGTTGTAAGTTTTAAAAAACATTGTATAACACCAAAATGTGTAGATCGAAAGCAAAAGTTCACACCCCGAAAATAATCAAAATCGAAAAAATTTTCATCAACTTTGAGGCCATCTAATGGCCAAACGAAGCGATTTCGGATATAGGTGAATTGGCCTAAATCTGCCTATTTTAAGTCAACGAATCTGTGGTCTTTTGTTGTAAACATGTACCATCCTGTATAATTGCGTTATTTGTATGGGGTACAGTTAAAAATTACTAAAACAGTAAGATCAAGGTTACATTAGAACACAACGTTCTGTTTCACCAGCTGTGATTGGTGTGATTTTTCACGGCTACAATACAATGGATTTAATAGTAACGAAAAAACAACATAAACATTTCATTTTGCACCGTTCTGCGCAAAATGATCTAAAATAAAAAATATCAGATATATGTTACGTATTCTAATTAAATTTTTTGAAAACAATTATGGAAAATAAGATACAATACAACGCAACAAAATTGTGACATATTGGCGAAAAATTGTTGCTAAGAATTTTGTCGCCGAGAATTCTCCGCTCTGCCCGGTGCAAAGAAACTAATTAAACCATTTCTTGTAAAACAAGCTGCATTCATCACAAGAACATTCACTGCAAAGTTGAGATTGCGCAAAACTCATTCGTAAAATCCGTCTCCGTCGCTCGGGAAGGATTTGCTGGTTATTAGACTTGTACATGTCGGAGGCAATAAAGATACGTTTGTGGGTCTCCAAGTGCACATCACATAACAAATAAAAAAACGTCTCGTAAAAGCTTATTGTCTTACGTAAACAACCAGAAATATCAAAATTACACAAATAAGTCTATTGATTTTGATAACATTATTCTATTATTAAGTACTAAATAAAACAAAAACAAATAGAGGCCAGCAAAATTGTTACAAAAATTAGATCTACAAAAATATACAAACCTTAAAATCTCCAGTCTTTTATATTTTGCATGCATTTCACCTCTCTGGACTTGAACAATATCAGTTACCTAAATGAAAATTGTTAGTTTTCTCTCTAGTACATATGTACAAATTCAATATGTAATTTGAATAATATTATAATTAGCAAAGAAATTTCACAAGCGTTGGGAATAATCCCATTCTATCATATTTACATATTTTATACTTTCTTAGGTAATATACATAAATTTTCTTTAACCATATCTTTTGTTATATTATATCGTTTCAATATCTATAATACTCCCAAATTTGTGATTCCGCTCTGATTCGTGTATTTCTTTCAAGAACACAGATTGTAATCTTATTTTCAAATTTATATTAGTAGTAATGTAATATTTATATTTACTATTATATTACTACTACTATTATTATTTATACTATACTAACATTTATATTAGTAGTAGTTAGTATGAAACAATTCAGTTGCCGAAAGAGTTTAATGTACTTATACAGGGTGTTAANACAAAACTTGTCGGAAAATGAAGTTTGAAAGCGATCAGTTGAAAACACGGTACGATCTCAGAATCAACACAAGTAGGTTCCAGGCAGGAGATCTAGTATGGCTGTGCTACTCAGTAAGGATGAAAGTAAAATCTCTGCCCGGTGCAAAGAAACTAATTAAACCATTTCTTGTAAAACAAGCTGCATTCATCACAAGAACATTCACTGCAAAGTTGAGATTGCGCAAAACTCATTCGTAAAATCCGTCTCCGTCGCTCGGGAAGGATTTGCTGGTTATTAGACTTGTACATGTCGGAGGCAATAAAGATACGTTTGTGGGTCTCCAAGTGCACATCACATAACAAATAAAAAAACGTCTCGTAAAAGCTTATTGTCTTACGTAAACAACCAGAAATATCAAAATTACACAAATAAGTCTATTGATTTTGATAACATTATTCTATTATTAAGTACTAAATAAAACAAAAACAAATAGAGGCCAGCAAAATTGTTACAAAAATTAGATCTACAAAAATATACAAACCTTAAAATCTCCAGTCTTTTATATTTTGCATGCATTTCACCTCTCTGGACTTGAACAATATCAGTTACCTAAATGAAAATTGTTAGTTTTCTCTCTAGTACATATGTACAAATTCAATATGTAATTTGAATAATATTATAATTAGCAAAGAAATTTCACAAGCGTTGGGAATAATCCCATTCTATCATATTTACATATTTTATACTTTCTTAGGTAATATACATAAATTTTCTTTAACCATATCTTTTGTTATATTATATCGTTTCAATATCTATAATACTCCCAAATTTGTGATTCCGCTCTGATTCGTGTATTTCTTTCAAGAACACAGATTGTAATCTTATTTTCAAATTTATATTAGTAGTAATGTAATATTTATATTTACTATTATATTACTACTACTATTATTATTTATACTATACTAACATTTATATTAGTAGTAGTTAGTATGAAACAATTCAGTTGCCGAAAGAGTTTAATGTACTTATACAGGGTGTTAATTAAGTGCATCGACAAACTTTAAGTGGTGAGTTTTTAAGTGATTCTAAACCAAAAAATCCTTTTTAGTTGGTGTATAAACTTGATTGCGCAAAGCGATATTACTCAATATCGAATCAAGAAATTTATGTTAATGATGTATATAATTAAACGTAAAAAACTCGGATATAAATAAAAATGGCAGAGATTCCGATGATTATATACACTAAAAACACTAGAAATTTGACGCAGTTGAATATTTTGAAAATTTTGACACTACTTCCAACTTGTTAATGTTTGCAAGATAAAAGATCGTTTTACCTATAACATAATTTCGAACTCTTTGTTTCGCTAAAAGTTCAAATAATATTTTTTTAAAGTATACGTAATTAACTGTAATCATGAAAAGTCCGATAAACTAGTTACTTAGCGCAATTTTTCCGGGCCTTACATCTTGCTACCTCTAACAATAAATAAAATTTAACGCAACTGATCTTTTTCGGACCTCATGATTAATTTGTACGTATTTAAAATAGCAACCCTAACAAAAACATACCACAATTTTTTTTGAGAAACATGTTGCTCTAGATTTATTTTACATTTGTAGTGTTTGGTAACGCTAGAGAAAATTCAAAAAGTAATCAATCATTTTTCGAATAAAATGAAATATACTTATTTTTGTTAGAAACGATCCAATTTTCAAAATTGCCACTGGTATACGTATATATTATTATGATATTTTGTTTTTGTGAAGGACTTTATACTTTTTATATGTAATTGTTATTTGATTATGAGACTCTCGCAGTGTGTGGGTTCCTTTGCTTTGTTTTATTTTTATATATTTTGATTTAAATTTGACTGTGTTGAGATTCTATTCTAAATTCTTTAAATGAAAGATGCATTTAAATTAACAAAATTTCAATATATTACAAGATTTATCAGGTTATGGGTTTTATTACAATTGATAATAATTGTTGTAATCCTTAAACTAAATAATTGACCAATAAATTGCTCCCTAAATTTCTACTTTAACAGTGCATAAGTGTGTTTATACTGTCAGTAGTTCAATTGGAATTTTAATGTAAAGATTGATATAGCGCTTTGTTTTTTAAATTTGCAAATTTGTTTACTAACGACACTTACAATGAAATATTTCTGGTTGTTCAATCAGCATGTAACCACGCTGTATTGCGAAATCTGCTATACGTAGTCGCGCTGCTCCGACGTTCCTCTCGTTGACCTGCCGTTTCGCCGCGGAAATTGCCGAAGTATCCTTTATGTGCTGCTACAGGAATTTCTCCCAGGTGAAACGACACTGCACTATATTTTTAAAGATTCCACTTGTCACTATTTTATTTATACAAATTAACCTTGTATCAATTTGTTGTTGTTGTACCAATTGCTTATGAAGAGACTGCTGAATGTATTTTCGGGCTAATGTCACTTCCACTAATGTAACATTCTGACTTTTGACTGTCAAATTTTGTCACGACATTCAATCACCAAGATGGCTGTGTAAGTACACGAATTTTTTCTGATTTGTTGACAATAACTGATAGCACTACTTGTTTTCTAGGAGCAAAGTTAACGATTGCTGCTACAGGTAAACATGGAAGACTGGCTACCTCGAGCCCGGATATTGGTTTTATTGAATGTGAAAGACAATTGAAAATTACTATGGCAACGTACAATGAGCATTTTTAAAATTTTATTTCTACAAATACTGACTTTTGAATGGACTTGTGATGCATGAACTTTCCATTTTCAAATTCCTTGCATGTCTGCGTCTTTTGACACTAATTATACATTTCTAGGTTAAGTTAAACGTTATGCCAAAATGTTACTTATTTTTGCAAAATTCACCTTAATTTTGATGAATAGACTAATTCTCAGCATGTCTGTCTGTAATGTCTATATTTTTGGGGTTCGTAGTAAAAGAAGAATTACTTAGTCACACCTTTATTTTCTGCTCTACACAACTTGACAGTTTCACTACTAGGTCGGAACNTAATAGGATAAGGAAAAGTACCAGAAAATAAAATATTCTTTATATTTGTTCAATTAGAAATTAAATTATACGAAAATAGTTCTGAGAAAAAGCCAATCAATTTAAAATTTGTTTTTGTTATATAATCACGATAACTCTTAAAAAAATAAATATTGTGTAAAATCTTAAAACTCTATTTTTTTCTTGTTCTGCATGCTACATGTCCTGAATTAAGGAAATAGAACCGACTCCTGAGATTAGACTTAAAACAAAATCTAAGTGGCAGCTAGCAAGGGTATATATATAAAAAATAATTAAATATACGAGGTAAGAAAGAAAAGAAAGGTGTATTAAACAATGTACAGTGAAATCTAAATAATCATCATAGAAATAAAGCAAAAGCAAAAAACGCAACACTCAATACATTAAACACATAAATTAAAAATTAAATACTAAAATTAAATTCATTATTCAAAACCAAATCTCATATCAAAATTTAAAATATAAATTTATATAAAAACAATATCATAACAAAATTGGCGCCCAACGTGGGGCTCGGGAAAGCGTGGGGCTCGAGAAAACGTGGGGCTCGAGAAAACGTGGGGCTCGAGAAAACGTGGGGCTCGAGAAAACGTGGGGCTCGAGAAAACGTGGGGCTCTTCGAGAAAACGGGAGGAGAATTATGGATTTAAGAAGTGGAAAGCAGATTGGCGAAAACGACAGTGAAGAAATATCAGAACAGGAAAGTATGGGAGAACAAGAAACGCATAGCGGAGGAAGTGACGTAGGAATAAAAAGTATGTTGGAGGAAATGATGAGGACGATAACGGAGGAAAAAAAAAGCAAGAGGAAGACAGAAAAAAACAAGCGGAAGACAGAAAAAGGCAAGATGAAGGCAGAAAAAAAATGACAGAGACAATCAGACAAGGAAGAAAAGAAGATATAAAAAAAATAGAAAAAGGACGAAAAGAAGACATGAAAAAAATGGAAATGCTACTAGATATAAAAATTCAAGGCATATGAGAAGAAATAAGAAAATATTTTCAATAATGGAAAATGGACATTAACAAGGACGTGGAAAGAATAGACCAGGATGTAGCAACGATTGTGACAAAGACAATAGAAATAGAAGATAAAATGAATAAACAAGAAAATGAAATAGAGAAGATTGGAAGAAATATGAATAAAAATACACAAGAAATAGAAAAAGTAAAAAGGCAAGTGCAAGGAGGATTAATAGGAAAGCAGGATGTGCTGGAGGAAGAACGAAANTTTTTTTTATGCAAGCGGACGACGACGAGGAGGACTCTTTTTTTTATGCAAGCATGACAAGCTTTAATATTATTTTCAATATCTGAATTTATACCTAGCCACCACACATAAGAACGTGCCAAATTTTTCATTTTAACTATTCCCAAGTGTGATCGATGAATTTCCTTTAATATTTCACCCTGTAATTTAGTAGGTACTACTATTCTATAACCAAACATTAAACAGTCATCTATTATAGATAAGGAATTTCTATTAATGAAATAAGGTTTCAATAATTCATCTTTAACTTTTTTCGGCCATTCTGTGTTTACAAATTTATAAACTTCTTTTAAAGTTTCGTCTACTAAGCTACAATCTCGTATGTTTTGCCAATTTATAGCTACCTTATCATTTTCAGCTATATAATTAATTATATTTTTTAGCTTTTAGTACTATCTATTACACACCTTTTACACAGTCTTTATTCGTTCTTTTTCAGATATAAACGAAAGAAAGTTTTTGAGTATTCCGCTCCGACAAGCATTCTAAAGTATATACAACAAATTGACCTTTTGTTGGAGTTTAAACATATTTTATGGAGTTATCAGGGTCTTTTACATTCTGCACATATGATTTAAGTACAGTCTTGATGCACTTTTACAACTAACAATTTACAAGATTTTAACGGAACAATAACTGTCAAGATTTATATGCTACAAAAAAGGTTTTTACAAATGTATAGGTTTAATTCCACACATATTCTGGCTCCAGGTACATTATGCTTCATTTAATTATCAGTTTTATTGCATGAATCGGAAATATATGTGAAATACCTTCATCTAACGTCAACGGCTTGTCAAAATTTCACTATGATGATTAAATGTACTCATGCTAGAATTTATAGTATTAGTTTTTAGTATTATAACATTGTTCATTAATGTTCTTTGTAACATAATTGTACAATATGAGTGCATTTACATAGTTATATGAATATGCAAATTCAAATTTAGTTATAACTTTGACAGTCTCGACGTTTTGTCGTGAATTTTCATCAATTACAAATTTTAACTTATACTATCTAATCTATATACATCTTGCATTTAAGTCCATTATAATAATTAACATCCTGCTAGTGACTATTTTAAATATATCTAATATCAAACTTTGTATTAATTCGACACTTTTGTGTCTCGGTATCGTTAAAAATATTGATTTAAAATCTTCAAATTAATAAAACATAATATTACATCCGAATTCAATTAAATAAATCAATAGTGTTTGTCTCATCATTCTGCATCAAATGTATTAAAACATATTTTAGGATAACTGATTTTAAAATTTCAACGTAATTAATATCTTGTATAATAGTCTGGATCTAAATGTTACTGATCTGCAGAGATATATATTTAAAAAGTAATATGATTAAACGTAGAAGAACACCTCAATTTATTGCTAAATCATCAGTATCTAAAGAAAAGAACATTTAAAAGCGAACTCTCTCGCAACATCAGCCAGAGAATAGATGCAGTTTCTGATAAATGGAGAACATCGGACCGCACAGACTTACGTCAAATTCCTTTGAAACAGTGTCCTTTGATGAATAGCTTCATACTGAGTAATATTCGCAGTAGATTTGCTGATAAACAGATAAATATATTGCAGGTGAGTGTTCCCTAGAATGTACCAGTAAAGTGCATTGAACTGCGTAATATGAAATTGCAGCAAATATTAATAATAGACACGTCACAGTTCCAGGCGTTACCTAACTTTTTGTTTTCAACTGAAATACATATAATATTCTATTTATATTTTTTTCTTTGAATTTAATGCCTACTTTGATAAACAAATATTGGCCCTAAATAGTACCTTTTCGGTGTTACTTGATATTAAAAAAAAGGAAATTGTAGCATCTTGGAAAATATCAAATATCTCCCAAAGTAAACATCGTAACAAGCATGAAAAAACGTATACTCTGCACTACTTGATTTATCTTAAATAACAAAACTAATTAAGATTGTTTGAAATTTGAATTTTTTTTTCATAGAAATATCAGCATAATTTTTATGGAAATATGATCAGATTAAGTTAACACAAATCATTAAAAATACGTATCAATAACAAAATAAGTACCAACAAGCAAACTCTCAAAGTTTATTAGAACAACAATAAAAATAGTGGTCTTAAAGCTCGAGCTTATGGTTAGAGAACCATTGTTTGTAGGATTGTTATGTCATAGTCTACGTACCTGATCACCGCCAATTACATATTTAAACTACTCTTCCTTAGTTTTAGCTAAGAATCTTTGGCCTGCCCTTTTTATTTTAGGACTAGGTTTTGTGGGGGCAAATCCGCTATCAGAAACTGTCTGTTTCTGATTTCTGTTTTTATTGTTGTTTCTAAAACCACTACGAAGAAGAGGTTCCTTCTCTGAGAAGTTCCATAGTGGCATCTGCAACTCGTTATTCTTCACCATCGGCGTCTGTAGTGGCGGCTCCTTGCAGAGTTCACTTGCATTGCTAATGACATTAGTACAGATTGTAAATCTCTGTAGTTAGCAAGTATATCTCGGTGTCTTCGTTTATAACTAACTGTAATACCTTAATTTAGCGCATGTTATTCTGTGGCTGATTTCTGAGACTGGTTGAGTCTAAAGATCCTTTCATTTTCTTTCCTTCTTGTAATAATCTTTATCATACCCATACAATAATAATATATCTAATAATACATTCTATAAGAGGGATGTACATTGTACCTACATCCTTTCTCTGCAATACCTAGACAATACCGTCTGTTACATTATAAACACGCTGCCTCCTGATCTTGGTCTGGTTTGTCACCTTTTTGAGAACGTCTAGGGTTGATGACCCGCTTGATATTTAATTTTTTATAACGCCACAGGTAAATACCTTTAAAACTAAGTGAGGTGTTTCACTGTAGAGTTTGCTCATAGGTATCTATCAGTATAGGCGATGAGATACTATGCCGCTGACTTGTAGTTACCAAGACATCCAGAAAATTAAGTTGTCCCCTCCCCTGGTTTTTAATCTATACTGAATCAAATGTTTGGATAATATAATAATAATAATAATAATAATAACTTTATTTCGTGTATGCCATACAGGGTACGAAACGTCACAGGTAGATAAAATTTGATTTACAGAAAATTACATAAAAAGTAGATTTCAAACAAACAAGTTAAAATGTTAAAAATACAATTTTACATACATAGAATGGATCGAGACTTATAATACATTATATATATATACACATATATACATATTCATATACATATATACACACATATATACACATATAAACGGTCAGACAGNATAATAATAATGATAATGATAATGATAATGATAATGATAATGATAATGATAATGATAATGATAATGATAATGATAATGATAATGATAATGATAATAATAATGATAATAATAATGATAATAATATCTACTCCTCATTCTAACTACGAGAATTAGCCCATAAGTCGAAGACTTGTGCGGGAGAGGAGGCGGCATATTATTATTAAGCAGGCCGCATTTTCGCCCAGGAACGACTTATGTTGGTAGGCCCTAACCCTTCAGTGCAGGAATGAGGGAAACCGGGAAAAACTCATTAATTAGAGGGGTGGTCAAATGCCAACCGCTGTCAATCTCTCACATTGACCTAAGCCAAAATTCTTCCACCCTACCATACCTGCACAGACGGTGTCAATCCTCCGTACAATCATAGCTAATCTACGGTCTACCAGCCACGGGATGCGAACCCGTGCAGAATTTTCACACGATTTAAGTACTGACGCCTTAAACCGTGCGGCTATCGACCGATAGTCCGATATTTTTAATCATATGCGATCCTCAAATGAATTTGAAAATTACTACCCTTAATTGTTTTTTGTTGTACTTCTAAGGAGTCACTGACTTACTTAGGAACTTTTCTGAATCTGGAATTTTTGTGTTCCATTTTTAGTAAAAATATAAAATAAGTTTAACGGTTTATTTTATTTTATTTAGCAACATAACTGGCTAAAACTTTCCTCATTTAACCATTTTTTTATATCTTATATTTTCCAAGATACCAGTACATGCATCACCAAATTGGTTCACACTGTATAGACGAAACGAATATGTGAAGAATAAATACCCGTAGAACATCATACACAAATCAATATTATCGTTATTGAAAAATCAGATTTAAAAAATATTACACCATATAATACGAAGCTAAAATTTGATACCTTAGAATAAAAGCCATAGGCTGAATGCAATTTTTTTAAAGGAAAATTTATACGCCTGCTATTTTCGAATACCTATGTAATACTCAACTTATTTTTCTTATTTACACCATATTAGAATTTTCCATTACTGGATGGAACTGTTTTGTGATTACAGCAATACAGCATGTTATGGAATTATATAAAATTTCAAACAAAATTATAATCCTTGATCCTACCGACAAAATATCATTCTCACGTACAGGCAAACATAAAGAGACGCATATAATTCAATCTACTTTGTATGTTATATTTACGAGCTTCCTGTGGTAAAAAAGAACAGTTTTGAAGTAATTCCAGTTAAAATTTTCATTGTGATTGTGTACAGAAGGATCAAATGCGGTAATATCAAAAACGACAACCCCTAATGTAGAAAATAAGGAATAGGCTTATTTTGCACATTTGCTATGACCTGCAATTAGGCCTGTTAAAAAAAATTACCATTCATAATGTATCAAATTTTGTTATCACAAGTTTTAGAATTTAAATATACAGAAAACATACTCTTATTTTTATAGGAGATTTATGAATTTTATTGATCAGTTATTAATAAACACGGTCTCCTTCCAACCTAACTATAGATTAATGTATTGAGTATAAGACTAATGAAACACGAGATGAGAGGAATGCAAAATTATGATGTCTCATGTTTCGTGATGATTAATGGTGTATTTGAATTGATAATTAAGT